CCACTTGGTTATGGCGTTCCATGTATGCCCTGCCTGCTAGCATCTTGCACCCCGCTGTTATGTGCTGGATTGTCTCAGGGGCATCTTTGCACAGCCTGCACCTGGGGTCCTGTCTGGTATGGTAGACCCCTGTCTCTATTGATCTTGTACTTAGTGCTTGTTCTTGTGCTGCCAGGATTAGTGCCTCTGTGCTGTCTTTCAGTCCAGCTTTGTCCAGACACTGGTAGGATTTTTACGGATGTCCAAACTCCACACCCTATCTTTAAGAGTAAGTCTGGCCACCTTACGAAGGGAACTCATTTCGGCTGCTTGTATTCGCAATCTTATTCTTTCGGTCAACACCCACAGCTCATGACCTTAGATGAGGGTTAGAGCATAGATTGACTGGTAAATTGAGAGCTTTGCCTTTTGATGAAGCTAGTGGTGTGGCTATGTATGGCAACATTGGCCAGTCTAGTGCTTTGATCCAGACTGAAATATCTGAACAACTATTAAATGAATGGCCATCTGAAAAACATTCACAATCCTACGAGACTTTGCCTTTAGTGCCACCCTGAGATTAACCTTTTTTTTTTCGTTATTTTATTGAGGTGTCTTGACAACTGTTAGACTATGATACTAATATCGATGGTGCATGGAAGGTGACTCTTAAAGATTTTGGTGATCCCCTGGCCATTTATCTAGTGCCAGCAGTTGGTCAAAGTTATCACTTATCCTGTGAAATGGACTCAATTTATGGTTTCCAAATTTTAATGACTTTGATGACTCCCTGATCCTTTATCTAGCACAACTATAAAGTTAAATAGTTAGATGTACTGCCATGAAATTTGGCACATACAATCACCTTCCCCTTCAGATGAATTTTCATCTAGCACCATCAAGTCAAAATTAAATGTGTCCCCTTGTTGGACCTGCAAAACTAATAATCTGTCAGCTTCAGCTGTTTTGTGTCTAGTGCTAATAACAAATGTTATAGTATTCTAACATGCTAAAATAAGATGTTGAACATGGTAAACTTACCTGCCTAACTTCAACATTTTAACATTGTCAGTGTGTGCATTAGCATTTGGTTGTAGAATTTTACTGTATGTTTAGTCAGAAAAGAAAATTTTATAAGTGCAATTTCATACAGTTTCAACTGAAAGTTGCAAATTGACAAGAATTTACCTGGGTGGCTTATATCTAAGTACAGTAGCTTATATCTAACATGCAGTTGGTAGATTGGCTACCAACACAAACAGTCTAGCGGTCAAATGTGTACCACTGATGCAAGGCAAGGTTTTGCTTTTCATTCAAAAACACCCTTTGTCTTGTTTTTGTTACAGAATACATCGTTGACACTATTTTAACAGAAAATGTATGGGTAATATTGACCCTCATCAAACTAATGGAAGTTAAATGCAGGGTTTTAATGAGGAAATAATACAAAAAAATTATGCTTCTTTTCTTTAAATATATGGGTACAGTGATTATTACTTAACATTTTGATGACATTGTTGCATATATTTACAATTATATTAATGGCACTGTCTTATTTCTTAATAATTAATTCATTCTCATATTCACTTCCTGGATCTTGGCAGATCATCTCTATAATGTCCACTTGGTCAAACAACATCACTGCCTTTTCACACAAAACATACAGTGCAGTGTAGTAGTACATTACATTAAAGATGCAGACCTTTAACACAGAAACACATTTACACACATCCTAATCAACATGCTCCATGTTAAATTATTCAGAAACACGACTCGGCCCTATTCATATTCTCTGGTGAGAGAAGCCAGGATATATTTGGAACATCACACTTTTGAGAGCATGAGCTTTAACTCCCCTGGGTCATTTTCTGCTCTGGTCTTAATTGAGAGTGTTCTGGAAAAATCATTACTATATTAATGATTTAACACAAAGTAACTACCTGCGTTTTTCCAGGAGGAAAGGGAGATTTGCTTCGAATCAATACCCATGCACGCTCATTATAAGACGGGTAAAGTTATAGTAATTAGGCAGACACCAATAACTTTTTAATGATCTTTGTTTTTAATTGCATATTATCAGGTTGCACAGTGTGTGTGTTTATACCCAAATATAAGATAATGGTGAGGGGGGAAGCAGATTAAAAAGAGGAGGCACCTGCAAGGTTTTTTTTTTTTTACCTCAGCAACAACAAAAGCACTGATAGCCTACAACACATACAGGAAGATGAATGTGACCATCACCTCTTGTCTTTTATTTTGTGTGTCTTTTTTTTTTTTTAGTAATGTGCCTACAATGGCAGTCGGAGGTTTTGAAATATTTGTGAAAAACACTTCCCTCCCTGCTGTCTATTACAGTGAGGAAGTGAAAGGCACATGGAAAGAAATGGCATGAGGAAGTTTCATAAAACATTAATATGTGATTTGAATCATGGGATGTTACAAACACACACTTCCCTTTCTTTAAAAAAAGATTTATCCTCTATTTCAACCTACACTGCTAGCTTTGACTTAGCCACTATGAAAAAAATGAAGATATGAATGAAGATGAGGATATGATTCAGCAACGGATAGTCATCTGTTAGCTCTTAAAGAGGAAGTGGTTTATTCAAAGCAGTGAAGGGGTGAGCTTCTAAGAGAGAACAGAGAGAGTGGGAGGGAAATCGGGGTAAATGTGGTGCCAGAAATTGACCAAGAATGCCAGACTGGCAATCCAGGACTGCTGAGAATAATGAGCCAGCCAAGATCTTTTTTTCCCCTTCTTCTTCTGCCTTTTTTGCCCCTACCCCACTTGTCCTCTTAACACCTTCCCTCCCTCCCTGAGCCAGTTTGCCCAGCCCGCTCCCTGAAACTCTACAGCAGATTGTCAATTCAATGACTCCCCTGTCAGGTGATTATCTAGGAGCTTTAATGTAATCTTCCACTCACACGTACCATATTTCAATTACGACTGCCATTGTGAAACAAGCTGCATATTCAATTCACCAATTGCCTTGCCTCCGCCTCAACAATGTCAACTGTAAAAGAACGCCAGCTGAAGGCAATTACGCATGTTTTCAGAGCCAATTATGATCGCTCTCACGGCAGTG